GTGAAGGGAGGGCTAGGAATGGGGAAAAAATAAGAACCAAGATGCATTATGTAAAGGTACAATTCCCAATGAGAAATGTAATTGTATTGTATAACTAAAATGTACCAATAAAAGAATTTAACCAAAAAAAAAAAGAAACCCTGGGATAAAAGACAGATTGGAGGATCAGACTCCTATGAGGAAGGAATTACAATAGTCCAGGGGAGAAATAATTCAGGACAAAATCAGGATAGTGATAATGGCAATGGAGAGAAACAGACAAATAGGAGAGACAATGACTTACTAAGACCCCAGTTGATGGATATACCAGTTGAGGAAAAGGGAGTAACTGATTTTTGGCTTGAGCAGCAGTGTGGGTGGAAGAGTCATTACAGCAAGTTTGGAATGATCATGAGTTTAGTTTTGAACACATCCAAATAGAGATGTTGAGCAGGCATCTGGATATATAAGTTTGCAATTTAAGGGTGTGGTCCAGTTTGAAAGAACAGATGATGGCTGAAGCTAGGGAAGTGAAAGAGAAGGCCCTGAGAGAGCATACAGGGTGAGAAGAGGTCAAGGAGAGATTCCAAGGAGCAATAGTGCATGAAACAAGCACAGTAAAGGAAGATGGAGAAAAACGAGGTGATGGTGAAGCAGTGGGAAGAAAAAGCAGGAAACTGTCAAGTCAAATATCAAAACAGGATGTGCACCTGGGAAGGAGATCGGGATAGGCATAAGCAGTAAGTTTAGAGCCTGGCAGGATTTTTAGACAGTTCACAGATGGAAGGCTTTCCTTTTCTCCTTGAAATAGTGCATCTCATGAGAGCCAGGGATTGGGAGGGGACAAGAGGAGAGGGATAAGATTTATTACAGCTTTGAGGCAGAAGGGGAGAGGGAGCTGACTAAGGTTGGACTGAGAAGCAGAGCTGAGAACCTACTGAAAATGGAAACTTGTGTATTTGCAAGTGAAACCTCTGAGCAGGAGCTGTACAGGTCAGGACACTCATTTCTGCCTTGGTCATTTCCAGTCAGTGGCCCCTGCACCTTTTGGGTCAGTTCCTGACAACTTCCCCTGACCACTGTTTATTGCTTTCTTCCTGCAGCGAGTCAGAGGGCAGAGGTCTTTAACAGCTTCTGGAGATGGTGCCGCAGCTGTGCGGCTGCCCACAAGACTGATGCAGGGGGAAGTCTGTCTCCTGGGATATCCGGCCCCATAGCCACAGTGGAGTTGGAGCAGGCGCTGTTTCCAAGGTTCAGCTGTGGCAGGGTCTGGGTGTCTCAGGAGGGTAAACAATGGGCATGGGCAACAATCAGAAATCCTTGGCCAGCATTCTCTCTGAGCACATTTTCTGGCTGAGAAAAAGGACTCTCCAGCTTCCTCTTGCAGTGTATCATGACCCTAAGGTCCTTCTGTTCACAAAGAGCACTTTGTCACAGCCTGCAGCAGTCAGCACTAGTGAGCCCACTATTGAGGGCCTGATGTGTACCCAATGTATAAAACTTAGGATGAAAGAGAGTTTTGTTACAAATCAGGATGATCAGAATATCCATTTACTTAATGAACAAGTAAGCATAGAGCATCTACTGGGGATACCTGGCCATATCCTAGTCTAAAGGTGCATGAGCCACGGCCATAAATCCAAAGAGCACATCCTATAATGATTGGTTCTCATTCTGTTATAATCAAGCTCAGTGCAGATTAGACCTATAATATTAATCAGTATCCTATTGGTGAGTCAGTTCTCTCCTCTTGGGGTGATTAGGAGACTTGGTGAGGGTACTAACTTCCTGTGATCCACCTGGAATTGACATTACAGTGCCTTAGCACTGCTTTTTGTAAGTGCAGTTGGTCATTGTTATTCACTGATTCTCTAAAATTTATTTGTAACCCCCAAATCAATACATGCAGCACTTTTGCAGTCATTTCCAGACATGTGCAGAGCAATGAAAAATTTGAATCACCCAACGAGCACATTCCCAGCTGAGGTCAAAAAAGGTGATGCTTTGACTTTTTGTTTCAGCTCTTGCACCATGAAAAAAATATCCTGTTTGAGGTCTATTTAATGCCACAGCTTTTGCGTTTTTGTGCTTTTTCTGAATGATTTTGCTATTTAAAACAGTCCCCAAATGTACTGCTAAGAGTGCTGTCTAGTTTCCCTAAGCACAAGAAGGCTGTGATATGTCTTACAAAGAAAATACATGTTAAATAAGCTTCATTCAGGCATAAGTTACAGTGTTAGAGCCTGTGAGTTCAATGTTAATGAATCAAAAAGTGACTAAGGGTGTAGCTCAGTGGTGGAGGACTTGTCTAGCCTCCCTGGGTTTGATCCACAGAAACAAACAAACAAAAAATCAGTAGTATATGTTAAATAAAGTATCTTCAAACAGAAATACACATCCAACAAGGTTATGTATTACCATTTATCCTGAGATCAGTCTCTCAGGAACCTAACCAAGTGCTGAGGTCTGGGCTGGGGTTGGATCTTGGTCCTTGTCTTACTTGTTCCCTCTGGGCAGCCACCATCTAGGGACTCGGCACTGGCTGCTCTTTCTAATTGCCACCTCCTCTGACTTTTCTGGTCAACAAGAGGGGACATCACTCACCCCAGCCTCTCCTCAGGTGACAGCCACAGATGCAGATAGTGGTCCATTTGGCCTCCTGTCCTATTCCTTGGGTGCTGGACTTGGGGCCTCTGGGCCTCCCCCGTTCCGAATTGATGCCCACAGTGGTGACGTGTGCACAACCCGAATCCTGGACCGTGACCAGGGGCCCTCAAGCTTTGACTTCACAGTGACGGCAGTAGATGGGGTGAGTAGGCAGGCATTGGGCAGAGACATTGGGGTAGAACACTTACCAGGGCCAAACAAGGCCCACCTGACCTATGCTTCATGTCCCACCAGGGAGGCCTGAAGTCCATGGTATATGTGAAGGTGTTCGTGTCAGATGAGAATGACAACCCACCTCAGTTTTATCCATGGGAGTATGCTGCCAGTCTGAGTGCCCAGAGTACACCAGGCACAGCTGTGCTGAGGGTGCGTGCCCATGACCCTGACCAAGGACCCCATGGACGACTCTCCTATCACATCCTGGCTGGCAATAGCCCCCCGCTCTTTGCCTTGGATGAGCACTCAGGTAAGAATCCTTCCATACCAGGTCCTTCCCCCAGGTCCCTCTCCTCACCTGCCTGAATGATGCATTGCCTCCCCGTTCTCTGTTCTTTCCTTTATATGTCTCTCTCTGTGCCTTCTCCAGGGCTATTGACAGTAGCCTGGCCATTGGCCAGACGGGCTAATTCTGTGGTGCAGCTGGAGATCGGTGCTCGGGACGGAGGTGGACTGAAGGCAGAAACCAGTGCCCGAGTCAACATCAGCATTGTGCCTGGAACCCCCACACCACCTATATTTGAACAACTACAGTATGTTTTTTCTGTGCCAGAGGATGTAGCACCAGGCACCAGTGTGGGCGTGGTCCAGGCGCACAACCCACCAGGTATCATTTCGCATTCTAACCACTAGGTGCCACACTCACGTATCCCAGTTTAGCCCTCCAGCACCATCTCAAGGTGCTTTAGAGTATCACACCTCAGAAAGCCCCAGTACAAAACACTATGGCATCTGGATGTCACCCTAGCGCCATCCAACTGCTCTGCACCTGCACACCTCTTCACACTACTTTGAAAAGCACAGATGTGGGTACCATCCAGGCCCTCTTGGGATCAGAATCTGTACCCTGACTCAGTAGGTGCCCCTTCCCTCTCCTGACCTACTTTCCTCCTCTATAGGTCGCTTGGGGCCTGTGACTCTCGCCCTATCAGGCGGGGATCCTCGGGGACTCTTCTCCCTAGATTCAGCCTCAGGGCTGTTACAAACACTTCGCCCTCTGGACCGGGAGCTTCTGGGATCTGTGCTGGAACTGGAGGTTCGAGCAGGCAGTGGAGTACCTCCAGCTTTCGCTGCAGCCCGCGTGCGTGTGCTGCTGGATGATGTGAATGACAACTCCCCTGCCTTCCCTGCACCTGAAGACACGGTACTGCTGCCACCAAACACTGCCCCAGGGACACCAATTTATACGCTACGGGCTCAGGATCCTGACTCAGGTGTTAACAGTCGAATCACCTTCACCCTGCTTGCTGGAGGTGATGGAGCCTTCACTGTGGACCCTGCCACAGGCCATGTACGACTTATGGGACCTCTGGGACCCCTAGGGGGGCCAGCCCATGAGCTGGAGCTGGAGGCCCGGGATGGGGGCTCCCCACCACGTACCAGCCACTTTCGACTTCGGGTCGTAGTACAGGACTTAGGAACGCGTGGGCTGGCTCCTCGATTTGATAGTCCTAGCTACCGTGTGGACTTGCCCTCAGCCACCACCCCTGGAACTCAGGTCTTACAAGTGCAGGCTCAGGCACCAGATGGGAGCCCCGTCACCTATCACCTTGCAGCAGATGGAGCAAGTAACCCCTTTGGCCTGGAGCCACAGAGTGGGTGGCTGTGGGTGCAGGCACCACTGGACCGTGAGTCCCAGGAGTTATACACACTGAAGATAATGGCAGTATCTGGGTCCAGAGCTGAGTTGGGGCAACAGACAAGCACAGCCACCGTGAGGGTCAGCATCCTCAACCAGAATGACCACAGTCCCCGCTTGTCTGAAGAGCCTACCTTCTTATCTGTGGCTGAGAACCAGCCCCCAGGAACCAGTGTGGGCCAGGTCTTTGCCACTGATCGAGACTCTGGACCTAATGGACGTCTGACCTACAGTCTGCGACAGCTGTCAGAGGATAGTAAGGCCTTTCGCATCCACCCCCAGACAGGTAAGCACTGGGACCCAAATTCTGAGACCCTACAACCTCATCCCCACACTGGCAAACACCCAGGTAGAATCCCCAGCTCCCAGCCCGGATCCTGACTTAGCCTGGTGCTTAGCCCTGGCATTCCTTCCCACATTCCCCAGCCCTGGCTTCTTACATGTAGTTCTCAGGCTCTGAATCTCTAAACATCCCATACATGATCCCTGCACTCCCAGGAGAAGTGACCACACTCCAAACCCTGGACCGAGAGCAGCAGAGCAGCTTCCAGCTCCTGGTGCAGGTGCAGGATGGGGGGAGCCCACCCCACAGCACCACAGGCACCGTGCACATTGCGGTGCTGGACCTCAATGACAACAGCCCTACCTTCCTGCAGGCGTCAGGGGCTGCTGGTGGTGGCCTCCCTATTCAGGTATGTCAAGTTGCAGAACCCTATCCTAAAGAAGTGTGAGAGGGGGTAGGGGTCTCCCCGTAGAGCTGTAGGTATAGGGAAAAGAGACTGTCTGTGGGTACAGGTGTGAGAGCAGAAAAGGGACTCTGCCCACACACAGATGAGAAGACCTCCATTCTGAGTTGTTTCAAAACAGAAAGGAGACAACTGTAGGTGAGTTTTGTCCCCACAGGTACCAGACCGTGTACCTCCAGGAACCCTGGTAACAACTCTGCAGGCCAAGGATCCAGATGAAGGGGAAAATGGGACCATCCTGTACACACTAACTGGTAGGGGAGTGGGGAGAAGGGTGTCTACTGATGGGTGATGGCATGTTCCTGTGGCTGGACCTACTGAGGTCCCAAACCCTCATCTTCCCTCTGGCTGTTCCCAGGTCCTGGCTCAGAGCTCTTCTCTCTGCATCCTCACTCAGGGGAGCTGCACACTGCAGCATCCCTGATCCGAGCAGAGCGGCCCCACTATGTGCTAACACTGAGTGCTCACGACCAAGGAAGCCCTCCTCGGAGTGCGAGCCTCCAGCTTCTGGTTCAGGTATGGCTGCCCTTCCTACAATATGCCCACTTCCCCCTTGGCTGCTACAGTGGAACCCCCTCCAGTAGCTCCAGCTTCTCAGGGTCCCTGGGCCCTCTTATCAGGCTACTCTGACCATTTTCTCTGCTACCCCAAGAGCCAGCGCTGACTCGCTTTTACCCTGGTCTTCCTGATCCTGACCTCCCCAATCCACTACAGGTGCTTCCCTCGACTCGCGTGGCAGAGCCTCCGCCGGATCTCTCAGAGCCCGACCCGGCGGCACCAGTGCCCGTGGTCCTGACTGTAACTGCAGCTGAAGGGCTTCAGCCTGGATCCTTGTTGGGCTCGGTGGCGCCGCCGGAGCCAGCGGCTGTGGGAGGACTCACCTACACACTGGTTGGTGGCGTTGATCCTGAGGGCACCTTTGCTCTGGACGCGGCTTCTGGGCGCTTGTATTTGGCGCGGCCTTTGGACTTTGAGGCCGGCCCCGCTTGGCGCGCTCTCACGGTACGCGCAGAGGGCCCCGGAGGCGCAGGCGCGCGACTGTTGCGAGTGCAGGTGCGCGTGCAGGACGAGAACGAGCACGCGCCGGCCTTCGCGCGCGACCCGCTGGCTCTGGCGCTGCCGGAGAACCCTGAGCCTGGCGCAGCTCTGTACACCTTTCGCGCCTCGGACGCCGACGGCCCGGGCCCCAACAGCGACGTGCGCTACCGCCTGCTGCGCCAGGAGCCGCCGGTGCCCGCCCTGCGCCTGGACGCGCGCACCGGGGCGCTCAGCGCGCCGCGGGGCCTGGACCGGGAGACCACACCCACCCTGCTGCTGCTCGTGGAGGCCACGGACCGGCCAGCCAACGCCAGCCGCCGCCGAGCAGCACGCGTCTCCGTGCGCGTCTTTGTCACAGATGAAAACGACAACTCGCCAGTCTTCACCTCTCCTTCTCGCGTGCGTCTCCCGGAGGATCAGCCGTCTGGACCCGTAGCTCTGCATTTGGTAGCAAGGGATCCAGACCTGGGGGAGGCCGCACGCGTGTCCTATCGCCTGGCAGCTGGCGGGGACGGCCATTTCCGGCTTCACTCAAGCACTGGTGAGAGTTGAGCTTGTGGGTGGGGTAGAGGAGGGTGCCAGTGTGGAGGGAGCGCTGCGGTCTCTACCATCCTGCCGTACTGCTCCCCTAGGAGCACTGTCCGTGGTGCGGCCCCTCGACCGGGAACAGCGAGCTGAGCACATCCTGACCGTGGTGGCCTCAGACCATGGCTCTCCTCCACGATCGTCCACTCAGCTCCTGACGGTCAGTGTCGTTGACGTCAATGACGAGGCACCCGCTTTCCAGCAGCAGGACTACAGCGTCCTCTTGCGGGAGAACAGCCCTCCTGGCACATCTCTGCTTACTCTTAGGGCAACCGATCCAGACCTGGGTAAGATCTGGGAGGATGAATTGTAAGAGGGATAGACTGGGGGAATGAAGCATCTATTTGCCTTCTGGTCACCCTCCATGCTGTCCCTCCTCAGGGCCCAATGGGCAAGTGACTTATGGAGGCGTCTCTGGTGAGAATTTCTCTCTGGACCCGAAAACAGGAGTTCTTACTACCCTGCGGGCCCTGGATCGTGAGGAACAGGAGGAGATCAACCTGACAGGTACTTTGTCAAGACTCCAAAAGCCACCGGTGTTATAAACATAGGCAGAAACCCCAAAGTACTATCTTCTAGAAGTTTTCCACCTTTTATAGCACAGCTTGTTATATTTTTGGACCTTCAAGAGTGACGCAGCATGTACTGACTTCTAGGTTGTCATCACTGAGCAGACAAATTCTTAAATCTATATTGTCACGGCTATGCCTTCTAGGCCTAGTTTAGATTATACTGTAGCCATTTAATAGAGGACCATATTAATATTGAGTATCAGAGGACTGAGTGTCTTGCTGAAGCAACACAATTTGGAAGTGGCAGGGCTGGGGCTTGAGCCAGACCTTTTGATACCTCTGTTAGTGTCTTCTGTTACACCACCACTAATCCAAGATTCATCTTGGATATACCAAGCATAGCAGATGGGAAGGAAAAGATTATCTTTTGACGCTTGTTACTATGCAAATACATGTGTGTGCCTGGGTTATGTAAAGAGATGTTTTCCAGCTTATGTATACCTGGTGAACATGTATGAACACAGTGTGGTATAGTTTTCTCCATGGGGTAAAGGCAAACTAGATCTCATTGCTTTTGTTTTCCCACAGTATATGCCCGGGACAGGGGCTCGCCCCCCCTCTTAACTCATGTCACAGTGCGAGTGGCTATAGAGGATGAGAATGATCATGCTCCAACCTTTGGGAATGCCCACCTCTCCCTGGAAGTGCCTGAGGGCCAGGACCCCCAGACCCTTACCACACTTCGGGCCTCCGACCCAGATGTGGGAGCCAATGGCCAGCTGCAGTACCGAATCGTGGGTGAGAACCATCCCTTACCCACTAACCCAGCACCCACCCCCCTGCCTTGCTCCGTTTTGGCTGCTGTCAGCTTCTGTCAATGTGTCTTGGTCTTCTTTCTCCTCTTTTTATGTCTTCCACCTTTTTTTTCATGCATATATCAGTGTATCTGGATATCTCTTTTTGTGCCTCTGTTTTTATCTTGCTGTTTGTTCCTTCATGTAGAGGAGTGGTTTTCAAACTTTTTGGTCCCAAGAACCCTTAATATCCTTATTTTTTAAGAACTCTAGAGAATTTTTATGTGGATTATATCAATAGACAGTGTTGCATATTAAAACTTAGAAAAATTTCAAATATTATTGAGAAGCAAGCCACTGAAGTATACTGCTTGCTGTATTTTGAACAGGCACAGGAATTGTTAGGATTTCAAATAACAATTTGTTGGATAGTCTTAAGGTTGCAGAGATTATAGGTGTAACTGGAAGTAGCCAGTACACTGTCTGAAAAATACACATATTCGTGCTGTAAGCTTTCTACCAAGAATATTCTAGAAAATAAAGAATACATAAGCACACATTTCATTAACCACGTGATGGTGTCATCACATCATGTAGCATTGTAAACTCCACTGTATATTCGGGGGTTTTTTTGGTACCGGGGATCGAACTCGGGTCCTTGCACTTGCGAGGCAGGCGGCGGAACCACTGAGCTAAATCCCCGGCTGTCCACTGTATATTTGTGAGACAATAAGAATGAAAGAAAAGCATATAAGGTCCATAAAAATAGTTTGACCATGTGTATATGACACAGTCTCAGGGTATTCCCAGACTGAGTAATAATGGTTGCTTTATAGTATCTTTTTTTTAAAACTTTGTTTGTTTCTCTGTTTTTCTCTTTGTCTATTTCTCTCTTTCTTTATCTTTCTTCCAGCGCCCTTCCATTTTCTCTCTACTGTTGCCTATAAATCACCCTGATCCTCGTGGGCTGACACATGTGTTTATGTGCACCTACCCTTCTCTGCAGATGGGGACCCATCAGGAGCCTTTGTCCTAGATCTTGACTCTGGGGAGTTTGGTACCAGAAGGCCACTAGACCGAGAGGTGGAGCCAGCATTCCAGCTGCGGATAGAGGCCCGGGATGGAGGACAGCCAGGTCTCAGTGCCACTGTGCTTGTGACAGTGACAGTTCTGGATGCCAATGACCATGCTCCAGCCTTTCCTGTGCCTGCCTATTCAGTGGAAGTGCCTGAGGATGCACCTGCAGGGACCCTGCTGATGCAGCTGCAGGCTCACGACCCTGATGCTGGGGCCAATGGCCATGTGACCTACTACCTGGGTACAGGTACAGCAGGAGCCTTCCTGCTGGAGCCTACCTCTGGGGAGCTGCGCACCGCCACAGCACTGGACAGAGAACACTGTTCCAGCTATGCCTTTTCTGTGAGTGCTGTGGATGGTGCAGCTGCTGGACCCTTGAGCACCACGGTGCCTGTCACCATCACAGTGCGCGATGTCAATGACCATGCACCCACTTTCCCCACCAGTCCTCTACGTCTGCGCCTACCCCGCCCAGGTCCCAGCCTTAGTACCCCAACTCTGGCTCTGGGCACACTTCGAGCTGAAGATCGTGACGCTGGTGCCAATGCCTCCATTCTGTACCGACTGGCAGGCTTACCACCTCCTGGTACCACTGTGGACTCTTACACTGGTGAAATCCGTATGGCCCGTTCACCTGTAACTCTAGGCCCCCGGGATCGTGTCCTCTTCATTGTGGCTACCGACCTTGGCCGTCCAGCTCGCTCTGCCACTGGTGTGGTCATTATTGGTCTTCAGGGGGAGTCTGAGCGTGGACCCCGCTTTCCCCGGGCCAGTAGTGAGGCTGTGCTTCGTGAGAATGCACCCCCAGGTAAGTCCCTAGCTATGTGTCCCAGATGTATATCCCTGGGTAGGCTGGGGATACTAATTGTAAATGTTCCCCAAACTCCTGTAGTGCTCACAATCCAAATAACATCCTCTCTACAGGGACTCCTGTCATCTCCCCTAAAGCTGTTCATGCTGGGGGCTCAAATGGACCAATTACCTACAGCATTCTCAGTGGGAATGAGAAAGGGATATTCTCCATCCAGCCTAGTACTGGTAAAGAATGGGCGCAGGGGCTCTGTGAGGGGACAGGCTCCTGGGGAAGCAGGTTCTTCAGGCCAGAGGAAGTGTTGATGGGGGAAGGGTTGCCTTTGAGTAAAGGGCCTCAGTGGGAGGCTTCAGGGTAAGGAAGAGGGCTGTCACTGATGCACTCTGCCTCCCGCAGGAGCTATCACAGTTCGTTCAGCAGAGGGCCTGGACTTTGAGACAAGCCCACGGCTGCGACTGGTGCTGCAGGCAGAGAGTGGAGGAGCCTTTGCCTTCTCTGTGCTGACCCTGACCCTGCAAGATACCAATGATAATGCTCCCCGTTTCCTGCAGCCCCACTATGTGGCTTTCCTACCAGAGTCTCGGCCATTGGAGGGACCCCTGCTGCAGGTGTGGGGCATGATGGAAAGAGGGGGGCAAGGGCTGTCAGATTTCTTTGTAGCCACTCCAGTACCAGCAACCTCCTAAACTCACCAGGTGGAGGCAGATGACCTGGATCAAGGCTCTGGAGGACAGATATCCTACAGTCTGGCTGCATCCCAGCCAGCACGGGGCTTATTCCACGTAGACCCAGCCACAGGCACTATCACCACCACAGCCATCCTGGATCGTGAGATCTGGGCTGAAACACGGTGAGACCTGCCCTCTGTGAACCCAAAACCCCATCCTATTTATTTCTATTTATTCTGTTTATTTTCAAGCTCTGCATTGCATCTCCCTCAGCCCCTAGCCATACCCTGAAATCCCCTAAAGCCCAACTCTATCCTGAGTCCTCCTAGCTCTTCCCAGGCTTTCCTCTTATCCCCAGGTCCAGCCTCCTGATTGTGCTCTATGTCCAGGATTGTCCTGATGGCCACAGACAGAGGAAGCCCAGCCCTAGTGGGCTCAGCTACCCTGACAGTGATGGTCATTGATACCAATGACAATCGTCCCACCATCCCGCAGCCCTGGGAGCTCCGAGTGTCAGAAGGTGAGAGCTGGGGAAAATTAAAGGTATCAAAGCTGGCCGAGAGGCACTAGTATCCTCCCTAAAGCTCCAGGGGTTCCTGGAACCCTGCCAAACACACCTGTCTTGTGTATTGCAGATGCACTATTGGGCTCAGAGATTGCGCAGGTAACAGGGAATGATGTGGACTCCGGACCAGTACTGTGGTATGTGCTGAGCCCATCTGGGCCCCAGGATCCCTTTAGTATCGGCCGTTATGGAGGCCGTGTCTCCCTCACGGGCCCCCTGGACTTTGAGCAGTGTGATCACTACCACCTTCAGCTGCTGGCACATGATGGACCTCACAAGGGCCAGGCCAACCTCACGGTGCTGGTGGAGGATGTCAATGACAATGCGCCTACCTTCTCACAGAGCCTCTACCAGGTACCAGCTCCCCTGGATGCCCCCACATCTGGGCACCAGGTTGTACTGTTAGAGGGATGTGACAGAGCCAGAGTGGTTGGGGTGGACTGGATGTTAACAGTTGATCTGGGGGCCAGGGATTTAGCTCAGTGATTCCGCTGCCTGCCTCGCAAGCACAAGGACCAGAGTTCGATCCCCGGTACCAAAAAAAAAGAGTTGATCTGGGCCAGGGGATTTACCACAGTGGCACAGTGCCTACCTGGCAAGCACAAGGTCCTAAGTTCAATCCCCAGTACCAAAAAAAAAAAACTCTGATCTGGACAAAAGAGTGTCCTGTCTCAGACTGATCTTCCAGTGCTTCATCTTTTGGCCAGAAAGTGGAGAAGGTGGGCAGTTCTCATTCAAATAGAAAACAATGGAGAATGGGCTCCATGCTGAAATAGATACTAAGTAGGATTCATGGGGCCAAGCTCCAGCACACAGGTAGTGGGAGCAGCAGGGTAGCTGGGAAACCTGACCAAGGACACTTTTCCTCATACCTTAGGTAATGCTACTTGAACACACCCCCCCAGGCAGTGCCATTCTCTCCGTTTCTGCCACTGACCGGGACTCAGGTGCCAATGGTCACATCTCCTACCACCTAGCCTCCCCTGCTGAGGGCTTCAATGTTGACCCAAACAATGGTAGGTCTTTCCCAGAACTTTTATCTTTGACCATGTTGGACCATATTTGGACCTAATTCTTAGAATTTATTACCTAAAATCTTGTCTCCTGGATCTCTGACCCAGGGAGGACATTTCCCCCTTGTCTTTAATACAGTAAGCTTTTTTCTGACTGCATGTCTAGAAGTTGTTTCCTGAATTTGAATCCTTGGCACCATTCCATACTCTCCCAGCACATTGGCCATTTCCCAGAGTCTGACTTCCAAGCCCTTCCCTAGACCGTGAGAGTCAATTCTTCTACTGACACACACCCACTTCTGAATGTGTTTCTTTCTCTTCCATTCTCAAATCAGGAACTTTGTTCACAACTATGGGAACATTGGCCTTGGGCCATGAGGGGCCAGGAGTGGTGGACGTGGTGCTGGAAGCACGGGACCATGGGGCTCCAGTCCGGGCAGCACAGGCCACAGTGCATGTGCAGCTGAAGGATCAGAATGACCACGCCCCAAGCTTCACATTGCCCTTCTACCGTGTGGCTGTGAGTGAAGATCTGCCCCCGGGGTCCACCCTGCTCACCCTGGAGGCCACAGATGCTGATGGTAGCCGCATTCATGCCACTGTGGACTACAGCATCATCAGTGGCAACCGCGGCCGAGTCTTCCAGCTAGAACCCCGGCTGGCTGAGGCTGGTGAGGGTGTCGGACCAGGTCCTCAAGCACTGGGCTGCCTGGTGTTGCTTGAGCCTCTAGACTTTGAAAGCCTGACACAATATAATCTAACCGTGGCTGCAGCTGACCGGGGCCAGCCATCCCGCAGTTCAGCTGTGCCAGTCACTGTCACTGTACTGGATGTCAATGACAACCCACCTGTCTTTACCCAAGCATCCTACCGTGTGACAGTACCCGAGGACATGCCAGTTGGAGCTGAGCTGCTGCACGTGGAGGCCTCTGATGCTGACCCTGGCCCTCATGGCCTTGTACGTTTTACCCTTAGCTCAGGTGACCCTCTGGGGCTCTTTGAGCTGGATGAGAGCTCAGGAGCCTTGCGACTAGCCCACCCCCTGGACTGTGAGACCCAAGCTAGACACCAGCTCGTAGTGCAGGCTGCTGATCCTGCTGGGACACATTTTGCTTTGGCTCCAGTGACAGTTGAAGTCCAGGATGTGAATGACCATGGTCCAGCCTTCCCACTGAACTTACTCAGTACCAGCCTGGCCGAGAACCAGCCTCCAGGCACTCTTGTGACCACGCTGCATGCAATTGATGGGGATGCTGGGGCTTTTGGGAGGCTCCGCTACAGCCTTTTGGAGGCTGGACCAGGGCCTGAGGGTCGTGAGGCATTTGCATTGAACAGCTCAACAGGGGAGTTGCGGGCACGAGTACCTTTCGACTATGAGCACACAGGAAGCTTCCGGCTGCTGGTGGGTGCTGCTGATGCTGGGAATCTCTCAGCCTCTGTCACTGTGTCAGTACTAGTGACTGGAGAGGATGAGTATGATCCTGTATTCCTGGCTCCAGCTTTCCACTTCCAAGTGCCAGAAGGTGCCCAGCGTGGCCACAGCCTGGGTCATGTGCAGGCCACAGATGAGGATGGAGGTGCCGATGGCCTGGTGCTCTATTCCCTTGCCACTTCTTCCCCTTATTTTGGTATCAACCAGACTACAGGTGCCCTATACCTTCGGGTGGACAGTCGGGCACCAGGCAGCGGAACAGCCACTTCTGGGGGTGGGGGCCGGACCCGGCGTGAGGCGCCACGGGAGCTGAGGCTGGAGGTAGTAGCTCGAGGACCTCTGCCTGGTTCCCGGAGTGCCACAGTGCCTGTGACTGTGGATATCACCCACACTGCACTGGGCCTGGCACCTGACCTCAACCTACTGTTGGTGGGGGCTGTGGCAGCCTCCTTGGGAGTTGTAGTGGTGCTTGCACTAGCAGCTCTGGTCCTAGGGCTGGTTCGAGCTCGAAACCGAAAGGCTGAGGCAGCCCCCGGCCCAATGTCACAGGCAGCACCCCTAGCCAGTGGTTCTCTGCAGAAGCTGGGCCGGGAGCCACCCAGTCCACCGCCTTCAGAGCATTTGTATCACCAGACTCTCCCCAGCTATGGTGGTCCAGGAGCTGGAGGACCCTACCCCCGTGGTGGCTCCCTGGACCCATCACACTCAAGTGGCCGAGGCTCAGCAGAGGCTGCAGAGGATGATGAGATTCGCATGATCAACGAGTTCCCCCGTGTGGCCAGTGTGGCCTCCTCCCTGGCTGCCCGTGGCCCTGACTCGGGTATCCAGCAGGATGCAGATGGACTGAGTGACACATCCTGTGAGCCACCTGCCCCTGACACCTGGTATAAGGGCCGAAAGGCAGGGCTGCTGCTGCCAGGTGCAGGAACCACTCTATACCGGGAGGAGGGACCCCCAGCCACTGCCACAGCCTTCCTGGGAGGCTGTGGCCTAAGCCCCGCACCCACTGGGGACTATGGCTTCCCAGCAGATGGCAAGCCATGTGTGGCAGGTGCACTGACGGCTATTGTGGCTGGCGAGGAGGAGCTCCGTGGCAGCTATAACTGGGACTACCTGCTGAGCTGGTGCCCGCAGTTCCAACCACTGGCCAGTGTCTTCACAGAGATCGCTCGGCTCAAGGATGAAGCTCGGCCATGTCCCCCTGCTCCCCGTATTGACCCACCACCCCTCATCACTGCTGTGGCCCACCCAGGAGCCAAGTCTGTGCCTCCCAAGCCTGCGAGCACAGCTGCAGCCCGGGCCATCTTCCCATCGACTTCTCACCGTTCCCCCATCAGCCATGAAGGCTCCCTGTCCTCTGCTGCCATGTCCCCCAGCTTCTCACCCTCGCTGTCTCCTTTGGCTGCTCGCTCACCAGTTGTGTCGCCATTTGGAGTGGCGCAGGGCCCCTCAGCCTCGGCCCTCAGCGCAGAATCCGGCCTGGAGCCACCTGATGACACAGAGCTGCACATCTAGCTGTGGCCCAGGCTGGGCCCCGACCTGGGATGCGCACAGTGTCCCCAATGCAGGCCCCACTCTGAGCCTGCCCTGGGCAGCCTCGGACCATGACTGGCCATGGGGAGGCCACCACCAAGCCCCAACTCTCCACCCCAAACTCCTCCAGTGGGGGCAGGTCCCACATTTCACCCCAGCCCCTCAGAGCACTGGGACCAGAAGGTCTGTTGATCACTGACCTGGGGCCAGGTCCAGTGTGGGGAGAAATACGAAGGAGGCAGCAGCCCTGGGTTCTCAGTGAGGACTTCCTGCCTGCACCAGCACCCTGAGATGGAGCAGAGACTTTATTTATTGGGGGATCGGGGAATGAGGGAGGTACCTCCCAACTGTTTGGGCCCAGCTCCTTTGGGTTCCACTGACATCCCTGCCCCTGCCCAGAACAAGTGCCAATTCTCACTCTGGAGCCTTAATAAACTGCAGTTTGTATCCAGCCTCCGGCTCTGTTCTGTGGGAATGGCTGGAAGTCACCTGGCACATTATTGTGGACACCTCAAGAGACAGAGGGCTGGGGAACTTGGGGACATCTAGGTGGGGAGAGCACTGGGATCTTAGGAGCCTACTCTGAGGCTGAGATCCCCTCTCTTTGGCCAATCTTTTCCCTTTAATTTGAGCAAGAGGTCAGCAGGTGCTTGGCTATAGCAAGACTGAGAGGCATTGGGTAGGTGAGTGGAGGTTGTAGGGCTCTAGGCCTGACATCTGAAGAGATGAGGGTGGATACAAGAAGCCAAGTAAAGTGATTTTTTTTTCCTTAGAGCCACTGAATATCCACATTAAAATAAAAGCTCACATTTGTTGAGTCTGCCACGTCAGACTTTCTACTGGGTGATTTGCTTGCTTTATTTCAGTATAAATTCTTGCTTCAAGTGTATGAAGCAGACCACTTTTATGTAATAGTTTCCATATTATAAAGGAAATCTAAACTCTGAGATTATTTTCCTGATGGGGAGGGGTCCTCACGGAGGTGGGGAGTCCGAGGATAAGCAGTGCTTAACTAGGTAGTGAGGGGGAAATTCTATGGCAGCCCCAGCCCCACAGTTTCCCGGCACTCAGAACCGCACACTTGAGAGGGAGGAGCCAGGATCTTCACCAGTTACTAGGCGGGGAGGTGGGGGATGGGTGGAAAACGGCTCATGTGATCCATCATGTGACAGCAGATCAGCAGAAAGGTGGAATGGGACTACGAGCTGGGTGAGAAATCAGGGGGCCCAGGAGAAGGGGATCACGTTGGGAGGAATACGTATTGGAGGGTAGAAATATAATGACAATTCAGTCCCAACTAAAACCTACCTGCCATCTCTGCAGCCTCCTAGGGCTTCTTGCCCTCATTGTCGCCAGCAAATGCAGTTACAGCCCGGAGCCTGACCAGCAACGGACGTGAGTTGATTTAGCTCTAACCACCCCTTTACCCATGCTCTGTTCTGCACCTACTGTCCTGGTCCTGGCTTCCCTCACTGTTGTACCAGCTCCAGGTACCAACTCCATAGAAGTTCCAGGTTTAGTCCAGGAGGTGTCATTCACCTCCTGGGATCCATATCCACTTCTGGGTCCTACCCAAAGTTCCAGCTCCTAATCTGTGACCCATTTCCCATCCGAACCCTAACCATGGCCATGTTCCTGACTCCTGACCCTACAGGCTGCCCCCTGGCTGGGTGTCCCTGGGCCGCGTGGACCCTGCAGAAGAGCTGAGTCTCACGTTTGCCCTGAGACAGCAGAACCTGAAGAGACTCTCAGAGTTGGTGCAGGCTGTGTCGGATCCTGGCTCTCCTCGCTACGGTGCTTGTTGGGACTGAGGGCAGGAAGTGGGGTGCAGTGGAGGAACAGAGGGAAGTGGGCATGGGGTGGTGTAGAAGATGTCAGGGTCATGCTGTTGGTACCTGACAAGGCGGTGATATAAGGCAAATGAAAGGTGGTGACCATCACTGAGGAATTTCTTTTTTAGAAATTTTTTATTGGTACATGTTTGCAGTATATAATGATTACATTCTTCGTGGAGAGTTAGTAAATGTACATAACAAAGATGAACTGTAACTTAACTATCCAAATATAACTCACACGCTCCCCACCCCCACCCCTACAAAACTTCTGTGTTCCTCAATTTAAAAACCAAAGAGCAGGGCCAGGGATTTAGCTCAGTGGCACTATCTGCCTCAAAATCACAAGGTCCAGAGTTTGATCCCCGGTACAAAAAAAAACCCAAAGAGTAATTGTGGTTACAAGCAGTCTTTATGATCAAATCTAGACTCAATTTCACACTACTGTTTACCAGCAACAACACAAATGAGGAAATACAGCCCCTAATACATATAAGTGCTCATCAACTCAAATTTGTCCCCCATCCTGAAAACTTTACCCATTTCCCCCTCTATTTAGGAGTTCCAACTCCTAAATCACCTTTGGAGTAGTCCACTTCTGGCCAACCTTTGCTGCTGCCAGCTCAGTTATTCTCTCTCCTATACTACTGCTTAGCCTCCCCCACTCATCTATGGTCTCCTCCCCTCAACCTCACTCCCAAGCTAGATTGTATCCTTCCCCTAGCTAAAGTCCTCCACAGCAGCCAGAGGGTGTGTGTGTGAAGGGTGTATGGGGTGGGGGAGGGTACTAAGTAGTACCTAAGAATACTAGTACTAGTGTGCATGGCGCCGTAAAGGAAACACTGACTCACCATCACGTTAAGCTTAAAATCAACAAGTATGAAGATCTGAGTTAAATTAGATGTTATCATATAATTGGTTCCAAAAGTTTTGAAAACTTATGGGCAATAAACAAAATGGAAAATGGAAATGTATTAACTTCATTTGTTTTTTACGATCATAGTAATGCATGCTGAGGTACAGCACTTGCAACCTACTGGCCTTTAGGGTAAATCTATATTTCTTGGCCATGGAATTTTAAGTTTCTCCACCCTTTTTTTCCCCTGACCCTAAAATATACCCAGAGCCTGGGAAACCCTCCCTGACAAGTCCTGCTGTCTCCTGATTGAGGCCCAAAGAGGTAACCTGAGAAAGCAATGAATGAAGGCAAGATCCTCTTCTGAATCCTTACAGGAAAATACTTAGCCCTAGAGGATGTGGCTGAGCTGATCCGGCCATCACCATTGACCCTCCGCACAGTGCAAAAATGGCTCTTGGCAGCTGGAGCCCAGAACTGCCATTCAGTGACCACACAGGACTTTCTGACTTGCTGGCTGAGCGTCCGGTGAGAGGGAATGATTGCCCTATGGAGGACACCAATCATCCCTTCAGGAGATTAGTCACCCGCTGTGGGAGGGAGTTAAGAGTTTCTGAGAGCTTATGGGTAGGAGTTAATGCATGAGCAGGTGATCACTGGCTGACTGACATGTGATGCTCTGATGGCAGCCTCTGCTCCATTCCATGCTTTCTGATCTGTTTTCTGGTCTCCTTCAGACAGGCAGAGCTGCTGCTCCCTGGGGCTGAGTTTCATCACTACATGGGGGGACCTGCAAAGACCCGTGTTGTAAGGTCCCTACTTCCCTACCAGCTCCCTCAGGCCTTGGCAGCTCATGTGGACTTTGGTAAACCCAGTGGGTTTGGTGGGAGTTGGGGAAGGGACACCCAGGGGCTGGAGAAGTTTAGATGTGGGGTACAGTTAGTGGTAAAGCTGGAATTGAAGTCTATAAGATCTCAAGCGTGACCCCTCTCCACAGTGGGGGGACTGCATCGCTTTCCCCCTACATCGTCCCTGAGGCAACGCCCTGCGCCACAAGTGGCAGGAACTATTGGCCTGCACCTGGGAGTGACTCCATCTGTGATTCGTAAACGATACAACTTGACAGCACAAGATGTGGGCTCTGGCACCACCAACAACAGCCAGGCTTGTGCCCAGGTGAGCCAAGCAGAGAGAGCTCTGTGGGTCTAACAGCCTCCCCCCAAAGTGACTTCCATGATTTACCACCTTGGGACTTACCCTCTCACCCACGATCTCTGTTCTCATTCCCTCCATAGTTCCTGGAGCAGTACTTCCATGACTCAGACCTGGCAGAGTTCATGCACCTCTTTGGTGGCAGCTTTGTACACCAGGCATCAGTATCCCACATAGTTGGAAAACAGGGCCGGGGCCGGGCTGGGATTGAGGCCAGTCTGGATGTGGAGTACCTGATGAGTGCTGGAGCCAACATCTCCACATGGGTCTACAGTAACCCTGGTACTGCTAAGGGGACCAGCTGTGGGGGCAGGTGGGTTGGAGGTGGCTATTGATTCCAAGAAAATGCCATGAGCTAAAAGGAAACCCTGAAATCCCGATGACTACCTGTATGCCCATCTCTCAAAAAAAAAAAAAATCTAGGCCGCCACGAGGCTCAGGAACCCTTCCTGCAATGGCTCCTGCTGCTCAGTAACGAGTCAGCCCTGCCACATGTGCATACTGTGAGCTATGGCGATGATGAAGACTCCCTCAGCAGTGCCTACATCCAGCGGGTCAACACCGAGTTCATGAAAGCTGCCGCTCGGGGTCTCACCCTGCTCTTTGCCTCAGGTGACCTCCTCTCCTAAACTTAGACCTCCCAGCTACCCACCCAACATGGAAGCTTTGACCCCACAGTGAATCGTAATCTGAACTCAGAGCCTCCATAGGGACCACTGACATGACCTCTAAACTCTGACCTCCTGCAGTAACAGCTGATACCCAAATTTCTCTCTGGCATCTGAACCTACATAGCAAGCTCTGATCAACTAATATCAATGCCAAACTTGCCTCTCTCCCAGGCGACAGTGGGGCTGGGTGTTGGTCTGTCTCTGGAAGACACCGGTTCCGTCCTAGCTTCCCGGCTTCCAGGTAAGCGCCCCAACTACCATTTACCTGTGACCTTGTAATCTATAATCTTTGCCTTTGAACCCACCAGGTGCTCCTATGGCTCAGCATTCAGCCTTACCTGCCCTGGTTGCTGTACTCCCTTCTTTCTGTAGGTTAAGCCCCTAGTCTCCTGAGTGGGACACAGCTCCCAGTATTCTTCCTTCTCAGTCCCTGTGCATCTTAGTGGCAGACTTGGTGGGTTTTCTGTAGATAAAACTATGCATAGTCAGCTCAGCCCATGGTGAGGGCTGAAATCCTCTTAGTCAATCCTGTGTGCATGCCTCCCCACAGCTTCCACCCCTCCAGCAAGATCTAGACTATCCTCACCCATCCCCACACATCTTAGAGTTCTCCTGTGTCCCCTACTATCTGAATGGTGTCTTCTCTCTCAGCCCCTATGTCACCACTGTGGGAGGCACTTCCTTCCAGAACCCTTTCCGAGTCACAAGTGAGGTAGTTGACTATATCAGTGGTGGCGGCTTCAGCAATGTCTTCCCAAAGCCTTCATACCAGGTATGTGCATGTTCAAGTGGCTAGATAAGGGCTTGGGAGATCTTCAGTTCAGTAAGCTACTGTGCTAGCTACAGGCCAACACTCAGAAATGCCTTTCAGGAAGAAGCTGTAGCCCAGTTCCTGAAATCTAGCCCCCACCTGCCACCATCTAGTTACTTCAATGCCAGTGGCCGTGCGTATCCAGATGTTGCTGCACTTTCTGATGGCTACTGGGTGGTCAGCAACAGTATACCCATTCCGTGGGTATCTGGAACCTCGGTAAGAATCAGCCTGGCTCCAGACCTCCTCAGGAACTACTCTCACCCTTTGTCCCCAAGACTTTGTCTCCCAGAACCCCTGACTCCTCAAAGACCTCTGATACTTTTAAACATCCCTCCCAAAAAGTTCAGTCACTCTGAAATCCTGACCTCTCCTTGCACCTACATCTTGCAGGCCTCTACTCCAGTGTTTGGGGGAATCCTTTCCTTGATAAATGAGCACCGAATTCTCAATGGCCAACCGCCTCTTGGCTTTCTCAACCCAAGACTCTACCAGCAGCATGGGGCAGGACTTTTTGATGTGAGTGTTGGAAGGGAAGCTTGGTGATGTTGTCGTACAGATATGGCAAGGGCTAAGATGGATTTGGACACAGTTCTAATACAGTGGGATAGCCTCTGGAATGCAGATATAGGGTGACAAGGTAATCTGTCAGAGCTGGTTCCAACAAACCCAAATCTGATTCCCACTTCCTCCTTAGGTAACCCATGGCTGTCATGAGTCCTGTTTGAATGAAGAGCTGCAGGGTGAGGGTTTCTGCTCTGGCCCTGGCTGGGATCCTGTGACAGGCTGGGGAACACCCAACTTCCCAGCTCTGCTGAAGACTCTACTCAACCCTTGACCTTTTCTGCCAGAAAAGCTGACCAGTCCCCTGCTGTATAGGTGGTGGCTTGGTCCTTGTCCTGCCTTGTTGGAAGCCCTGCTGAACCCTCAGTCATTGACTGCAGCAGACAGCTTATATCCCTAACCCTGAAACAGTGTGAGCTTAATTCCCAACCCTGCTGTCCTCTGTTATACTCAGGTCTCCCTATTCCTGCCTCGAGTTCCTTAACAAGCAGCTATAACCAGCACTTTTACCGCCCCCGCCCCCCCCACACACACCTCTTCTTCCATTTTGCAAACAGGGATGTGAATATAGAGTGAGGAGATGTACTCTGTTAGTACTGGTACCAGCAGTCCCAGATCTTTGCCTTGTGGTCTTTCCATCATATTTCCCCGTTTACTCTCATTCCTTAGCCTTCAGGATTAACTTCTTTGATCACCCCTGTTTTCTTTATAGACTTGTCCTCTGCTTCTTTATCAAATGCTAGCATTCTTAATTGCTCCATTTTAAGTCTTATGCTCTTATCATTTTACTTAATTATCCCTTGAAACAAATCACTAGTCATCACTATCTGGTTAAATCAGATTTTCTATCCAATAGTGACTGACAGGTCAAATTTAAGATGGTGATACTCAACATTTCACCTCCCTTTGTCCCAGCGCCAAACTATATCTTGTTTCTTCTCAGTAAATGATACTATGCTTCTTTCAAGCAAGCTGGTTATCTCTGTAAGACTGCTTAATTTCTTAAGTGGGGATATCAGTATCTGCCTTTCAGAATCAGGAAATAAAATTAAGTGGAATAATGTTAATAGAGTAACTGGCATGTGGAACTAGGCAGCTGTTCTCATCTTCCCTTGCACTGTACACCCTGCCTACCTCTAGCATTGTAATGACCATATAGTATTGAAATCGCCAGTTTGTCTGCTTCCCTTTTCAAGACCACGCTGGTGCCCAGAGGACTAACTTTCCCAGGTCCCATCCCAGGAGCTGGCAAATAAGAATTAAATCTGACGAACTGAAAACCTCACGCTTTCACTTGCTGTGATTTTGCGTTTCTTGTTTCCTCGGGCGCAAATAATTTCCTCTCCATTGACAGCTGTACCGTGTGCTTCCCATTCCCTAGAAGCAGCTGGGTTTTCCAACTCCACTACACCCCTTAAAGCGTTGAATAAGGAAATTGCAAAGTGCACTGTCAAAGCCGAGGCCAGTGAGTCCCCCAAAAGGTCTGAGTGTCTGAATGAAAGTTCCCAGGCCCGCAGAGGAGTGCTGAACGCAGGGACTCCACCTGCGGCGGAACCACCTTGGAGCACTGCAGTGGGGAGGGTGGGATGGCGACCTCGGCGCGGCTCCCAGGGCCTCCTCTCTGCCCTACAGCTTACTCCACCTAACCAGCCCACCGGCTCTGGGAAGCAGCGGGACTTGCAGGAGGGAGCAACACTGACTGGCGGGGCGAGTGGGGAGCGTGTGACGTCACCGCGGGGCGCGCGTAACGTGAGCGGAAGCGGAAGCGGCTCTGTTCGCTGCCTCTACCACCGGCCCGATGAGCTCCAGTGGCTCCGGCGCGGACCCCGAGGCGGCGCCAGCGTCTGCCGCCTCGGCCTCGGGCCTAGCGCCCCCGGTCTCGGCTCCCGCCGCGCTGCCCGCCAGCACCGCTGCGGAGAACAAGGCCAGCCCCGCGGGGACAGCCGGGGCCCCTGGGGCCGGAGCCGCGACTGCGGGCACAGGACCCGTGGCGGCGCGAGCCGGGGAGCCGGCGGAGCGGCGCGGGGCGGGTGAGGGCAGCGGCCGGGACTGGGCCCGGCGGCGGGTGAGGGCAGAGGGCACAGGCAGCTTAGTTGGGGCCCTGCGCCTCCCACCTCCTAGTCTCAGTCAGTTTGCTGCTTCTCCTTCAGCTCCCGTGTCGGCGGGCGGTGCGGCGCCCCCTGAGGGGGCTATGTCTAACGGGGTCTACGTACTACCGAGTGCGGCCAATGGAGACGTGAAGCCCGTGGTGTCCAGCACGCCTCTGGTGGACTTCTTGATGCAGCTGGAGGATTATACCCCTACGGTGGGCTTCCGGCCTGAACTAGTCCACTGGCCCGCTGTCACGCTAACTTGCAGCCACATCCATGCTTTCCAGCTCCTCTTGTATTTGCGGCCCCTCTCCCCCGTCTAGTTCTTATTTCCTCTGCCTACTCAAACCGTGAGCTTCCTGATTGGCAGGGCTGTGCTCCATTTCCCCTGCCTCTTCCCACTCAGCCCAGCAGGGCATTGGGCTAACACTGATAGTTGTCTAATTGATTTCTCAGATACCAGATGCAGTGACTGGTTACTACCTAAATCGTGCTGGCTTTGAAGCCTCAGACCCACGCATGTGAGTAAACCCAGGGCACGTTAGAGCTTTGGGTCCTTAAGCAGTTTTTCATCTTCTCATACCAGTTTTTCTTTTCTAGAATTCGGCTCATCTCCCTGGCTGCCCAGAAATTCATCTCAGATATTGCCAATGATGCCCTACAGCACTGCAAAATGAAGGGTACAGCCTCAGGCAGCTCCCGGAGCAAGAGCAAGGTGTGAACAGAGGTTCAATGAATCAGTACCCTCCACCAAAGTAGAGGTTTTACTTATCCTAAAGCCTCTTTGGGGAAACTGCATCCTAGGGGAGGTATAAGGCGTATTCAGGGTCATCCACTTGGGATTGGAATCTGGGATTCCTGTGCTCAGCTGGTGCTCTTCCCTCTTCCCTCAGGACCGCAAGTACACTCTAACCATGGAGGACTTGACCCCTGCCCTCAGCGAGTATGGCATCAATGTGAAGAAACCGCACTATTTCACCTGAGCCACCCAACCCAGATGTACTTGTCTGTCCCTTTGTCCCCACACCAGCCTGTTTTCATAATAAACTTTATTGTGACAGGCAGGGCTGATCCCTCCCATGCTGGGAGACACCTTGTGGCAAGTGACAAAGCTCTGAGGCCAAGCCCTTTCGGGTTCACAGTGGCTGGGAAGGGTGCAGGGGATGGGCCCCACAGCTGGGGTAGTACCATGACTGGAGGCAGAGTAGGCAGCCAAAGGCACGTTGCAATGGGGAGGTGCACTCCCCCAACCATGTCTTGACACCTAAAGTTTAGGCAAGGACCTTCTAGTCCTATTTGTCCTGCATCTTCTCCAAGATAGGCACAATCATGTCAAACTTGGGTCGCTTAGCAGGGTCTTCGTTCATGCAAATCTTCATGAGCTTACACACATGGGGAGAAATACCCGGTGGAATGGTAGGTCGAAGGCCTTCCAGTGCCACCTGAAAATAGAAGGAAAAATGAGTAAGCCTCAAAATTTGAGTCTATTGTGGGCAGAAGCCTCCAGCCTTTGCACAGGATTGCTGTGTATTGAACAAATGTGGGAAGAGTATAGACCCATTACAATGACTTATCAGCACCACTGTTGCCCCAGTACAAGTGTGCAGAATTCTGCACTTACCTTCATTCCAATCTCCATGTTGGAGAGGTCAGCAAAGGGCACCTCTCGTGTTACCAGTTCCCACAGAAGCACCGCAAAACTCCACATGTCTGCTGAGCGTCTGTTTGTGTCTTCAGGTTTCTTCTGCAGAGCTGGAGAAATAGGGCTTGTCTGTCCTAGCTGCCTAACCTGTCATTTCTCTGCCTCTTCTATTGTTACTGAGCTGGTCTTTCTCTACCTCCCGCCATGATATCCTCACCCACCTTCAGGGGCTACCCAGGCAGGTGCATACATGCGCCCAGGGCACTGGAAAGAAAACTTGACATCAGCCATGCTGATTCGGGCAGTCATGTCCTCATCAATCTGAGGAAGAGAAGATACATGGCAGGTGAGTCCTACTCTAGATATGGAAAAGAGCTTTTGGGGTCCAGACCAGCAATGAACTTACGGGCTCACCATTACACTACGACTGTTAAGTGCATGTCGTGGGATGAGGGGCTCTAGTGTATGTAGGAAAGCCATGCCTCTTGCCATATCCAAAGCAAACTTCACAGCTTGGCTCTGGTCCACAACGAAATCTAAGAGGAGGCAAAAGTCAAATAGTTCAGAGAAGCTTATGTATTCCTTACCCAGCCCTTCCCAGCATTCTTACTCACTGGTGCCTTCATGTAGTACATTGTAGAGGGAGCCATATGGCATCCAGTGTGTGATAAGAGTAGGGTGAGGAGCAGGTGGAGACTGGCAGGCACCTAACACTGGAAGCACATTTGGATGGGAGAAAATCCTGGGAGAGGAAAAGAGTGCCCCTGTCTGAGACTCAGCATAAAAAAGCTCCTTTCCCCGTGCTATTCAGGATTTCTTGGAACGAGCAGCTTTCAGTTTAGTCCTTGCCCTACCTGAGCCGGGGGCACTCCTCATTGAAGTCTCTGCTCTTCCTTGTACTCCAGTCTCGAACCTTCAGCACCTTCACAACGATGTCATTGCCCTGCCAGCGGCCCTTCCATAGCTGAAGGATAGGGTAGGGGTTAGAAGACTAAAGACACCACTTTCTTGCCCAGTAACTGCAAGAAAAACTTAAAAACAAGTGAAGACCAGGTAATTTGTGGGGTTTAGGGCGGAAGGGGCAAGAAGGACAGGGGTCACCTCTCCAGAGTGATTCTCGTTGAGCTTCGCCAAAAAGTTGAGCTGTTTGAAGTCAATGCCGGAGTGTTTGTTCAGGGTCCCATTTCCTGAGAGTGTGGGCAGGTCAGGTACCCAGCTTTGCCCTAACCCAGCCCCAGAAGCCCAAGATTATTCTCTATTACAATCCCTCCTCCCATAATGACTCACGGGGCCGAGTGCGGGTGGTCCCCTTCCAGAATGTGTCCTTGTATGGAATACGGTTGAGATTCTGGCCCATCTTCTCTGCTCGTTCTAGGGAAGAAAAACAGTATTAGCCTGAGTTACAGTATGGAGGGAGGAGACATTTGAGAAGGGGCAAGACAAGAGGACACAAGCTAGGGATGGGGGATGGACCTCGGAGAAGCTCTCTCAGGGGTGCCTTGGCTTTGTCCACAGGCATCTCTCCATACTTGTTACAGATGCTGACTAGTGCCCCGTTAGCCACCAGGTCCTAGAATGAAAAGGTGGTTATAAGGGCCCCTGCTACATCCCTGCCAGTCACGACCAACCATAAACACATAGGAGTGTTACACAGTAGTACTGACAGAACAGGTTGAAGGTTCCAAATTCACTGCTCCCCACCTGTCCCAAGAGTTGGGGCCAAAGTACTCACCTCTGCCACCTGGTCTTGGCCCCAAAAACAGGCATAGTGCAGGGGCACATTCCCATGCTCATTTACTGCGTTGATGTCAGCCTTGTACTGCAACAACTGGGCCAAAAAGAAACAGCAAAAGATAGTCCCAAATGAGGTACCAGTGTTGGCATGGGACAAGGAAAAAGTATGCATTCTTCTTATACTGCAGTGCCTGTGACTGACCTCATGGGACTCATGTAATATGGATAATGGAGAGATCTGTGCATACCTTCTGTACAATATCACGATGTCCATGACTGGCTGCCAAGTGCAGGGGAGTATCATCCCCACGGTTCATCACATTGATCCGGGCTCCCCGCATGATCAGCATCTCAACCACAGCAGAGCGGCCCTCTCGGCAGGCCCAGTGCAAGGGGGAGAAGCCATGATCGTCCCTTTGAGAAAGGGCGAATGATCATTAAGCTGGAAGTAGGATGAGGCAAAGGTTCTGATTCATAAATAACTGTATTCTCTGGGAAGACTTACCTCACTAGAGCTTTAATTCTCATGTTAGCAACTCTCAAAGCTGTCTGAGCTTCACACCAACCAAGATTACCCTAACAACTCTAGTAAGATTGTCTTCACCATCTCTTCACAAGGTGGTAGCACTGTTCCTACAATTTCCCTGTACCTCTTTTGCAATGTCTGTTGTCCTTTGTATTCCACTCCATTTTGTATATCTCCCTACTATATATATCTCCCTACTATATATATCCCTACTTGTTGCACTTGATTAGAAAACTCTTATTAATAGTGGACTGTCTTGCCTGTGAGACTGTAAGCTTAAGCAAGTGTTGAGTACGTATTAATGGGGGAGAAGGGTATTTTGGAGAAAGCAGGCCACAATTCCTAGGAGAGGGAAAAAGCTTACTGTTTGTCTCTGGTTCAAAAACTAACATCTAAAAATGGAATGGAATTAAAATGTTTCAGAAGGGTTTATAATGAAAAAGAGAGGTGCTTTTGATTACTGATGAGGCCAATAACCACACAAAACAAGATTCTCCTACTTGGGAATCCTGGAAAAAAATTAGAAAGGCTGTTTTAGAATGAAAACCACACCTGATTTTTTTTTTTTCTTTTCCCAAGGACATGTATTTTATAAAGTAAAAGAAACATACAAACAAGACAATTGGTTGGGAGCTGGGTCAGCCTGACAGCCTAGAGCCATAAAAGGAAATTCCCTACAGTCCCCATTGCAGATACAAGGGGCGGAGCAGGGGGGCGGTCCATGGTTTGGGCCAGCAGCCACCGGATGCCTTAGCGCTGTGGTCACTTCCCCTGTGGGGGCTCTCGGCAGGGCCTGGAGCTGATCAGGGCTCTGGCTACCCAGATGTCTCCCAAGCTGGAGGGAGGAAGAGGGTGTGTGTGTATCCTCTGACATTTCCCTGCCACGGCTTGCCTTCATCTGTTCAGATAAAGAGCCAAAAAATATTTGCTAGATGTTGGCATCCCTGGAAGCAGTTATACCCCGGCTTATCAGCCAGTCTTGCTTCCCAGAACTTTAATTTGTGCCTGACTTATCAGCCTCCAGCAGTCTATTCCACAGCAGGCCCAAGCCTGAGAGAAGTATGGGCACAAGGGTTCTGCCCATGCTCAGGTTGCCTGTCACCTCAGGGCCTGGACTTGGGTCTCAAGGAGGCCATCAGGGAATTAACCACCACCTCATATCCAGCACATAACCAACTTGGGGGCCGATACCCTATCCCCTCAAGATAGCACCAAAACCTTCCAGTCTCACTAATGTCATCCTTTCACTTTTTGGCACTGAGGAGTCTAACAAGATGCCAGTCCCACTGGCAACTTTTCCCAAGCCTCTATTTCCTCATCAATAAAATAGTAACAGTGCTCACCATCAGAGTACCCTTTATGAATTATTTTAAAAAATGAAACTAATGACTTTGCATATTATTAAGGAGAAATAGCATAAGCCTAAAGGGAACCAGTTGTAGTCTGGACCAAGATGACTGGTGATCCTGGCCTCTCAAACCTACAGACTAAACTATCACAACCCTAAAAACAAAAGCAAAAAAAATTAAAATCTACTATTTCAAATCACTTGCTTTGCTTCTTTGTCCCAGCCAACTCTTAAAAACTTGGCCACATTTACTTTCTCTATGTCTTTACCTCCCATTCACTTTTTAACCTGCCACAAGTCTGCCACCTTGAGGGCACAGATTATATCTGATTCTGGGACTCTAGCATCAGCACAGGTGGTTGTCCACATATCATAGTTCCTAACTGAAGGGACCCAATGTAGGCTGGTTTCTTAACCCATTCATCGGGAACAGCACTCACAGAGATTATCAAATATATCCTAATTGTAAATTCAGTGGCATCATTAAAGTACTCAAGTTCTTTGACCTCTCAGTAGCCTTCACTACTATTGACCACTCTGCCCCTTCCTTAAAACATTCATTCTCTTCTCTAAGCTTTATTTGCACCTTTTCCTGTTTCAACTTTGGGTTGCTCCGTTTCAGTCTGCCTGGCTTCTCATCCTCTGTCCTCTTGTCTTTTACTCTTCTAAGGTACCATTTTCACATGAATGTCTTCAGAATGTATCTGCTAATAACTAATATTTCCCAAATCTGTCTCCAAGTAAGGTCTCTCTCGTGAACTCCAAACCTACACAATCAACAACCTACTTAACATTTCCAAGTTGCTGTATTGTCACCAAACTTTAACATGTCCAGAAGAGAACACCTTATCCTTCAATTTTCTCCACCTCAGTAAATGCAACTACAATCTTTTAAGTGCCCAAGCCAGAGCCTTGGTCATCATCTTTGACCTTCCTCACTTTCCACACCAAGTCCATTAATTCTTCATCCTTAAGATTTCTGGGCCAAGTAAGGTGGCACATGCTTGTAATCCCAGCACTCAGGAAGTAGAGGCAAGAGGACTGCCATAAGTTCAAGGCCCGCCTGAAGTACACAGCAAGACTCTGTCTCAAAAAAACCAAAAAAGAATTGCTTATTTTTCCCCTGTCCCAGTTCTGGTAAAAACAGCATTTCTAAGATGGCCTGGGAAATTGCCTTTTTCTTACATGCTCTTCACAAAGCATCCAAGATGATGCTTTGCAAATGGCCAACCTCATCATAACACTATGCAGTTTTAAAACCTTACTCTTAGAATAGAAGCATGAACTGGATGACCCTTACATACCTCTCCAGCCTTAGGTCCTGTCCTTTAACACTTAGACCCAATGCTCCAGCCCATAGAGATCTGGAACTAGCAGCATGGAGCTCCGGAAAATTTCCTGATACTTTTCAATATGTCTTGCTTCCTAGCCTTTGCCCATGCAGTTCATTGAGGCTGGGAAGCTCTTTGCAACCTCTGCTTGTGAAACTTATTTATAGCCAAGTTTCAGCGCACACATGGCTTCCTCTGTGGAGACCCTCTGACCCCGGCAGGCCGGGCTTAGCACTCAGCACTCTGGAGGGCAACCGACGTGAGCACCCACGTAGCGTGGGGAAGACCTCTAGCCTTTCTCTCATTCACCAGCCGCTTCAACTCACCCCTGGTTAAGGTCGTTCTCCGTGTTGTCCAGCCACAGACGCACAGCAACAGCGTTGCCCTCCCGGCACTGGGTGAAAATGTCGTCCATAGCAAAGTCCCGGCGCTGAGTCCCCGGGACTGGGGAAACCTGGGGACTGTGGAGGGTAGGGTGATCTAGGGAAGAGAATGAGCCCCAACTTTGTCCCCTACAGGATAGTAGTGTTTGTGTTGCTGCATCCCCTGCTAGTGGTGGTCTGTGAAGGCGTTTAGGGCAGTGGGATGATTCCCTGGGCGCCGGAGAAAGACCGGTCCCGGAAGGGTAGGGGTGATTACGAGGCAGTATCTACAGAACCGACAAAAGAGAGCGGCTCGGAGACCCAATCTGCAAACAGCCTGGGGGGGAGGGGGTGGCTCAGGCTCCGTAAACCCAGGGGAAGTGGGTAGGGATCCCTCCAGGGGGCTGCGCCCATTCCCTACTTAGAGCTCAGGCGGGGAGAGAGAGTGACGGGTTGGCCAAGCCCCGGTCTTGGGCACGGGGCGCGGGGCCTCCTCACTTACCGGGACTCGGGACTCAGGCTGGAGACGCTTCTTCGGGTGACTCCCGTCCGGCCGCGCCCGCCACCCGGCCCCGCCCAGCCCCTGGTCTTCCTCGGCCAGAGCGGTCGGCCTTACCTCCCTTCGGACCTCCTCCCTTCCCCTTCTAGCTCACTAGTGTCTACACTCGATGGTTTTCTGAGACGCGCGGGCCGCTCTAGCCACCGGCAGGTTTTACTTTCGGTTTCCGGCTCCGTCCGGGCAAGTGTGTGGGTTCGCTGAGTGAAGGGAGTCGCTCTCAGCACGTGCAGAGGATCTTAGTTTTTGCGACTCCGACCTTGCGACCCGCATGTTCGAGGAGCCTGAGTGGGCCGAGGCGGCCCCAGTAGTCGCGGGCCTCAGTCCAGTCACCTCATGGCCTCGGCCAGAGGCAGCCGCGAAAATCAGGGTGAGTGGCCGGGTAGCGGCAATGGGCGCTTGCTTTTTCAGGCCGCGAATCAATCAGACCCAGGTGGAACCCAGCGCTGGGAAACGCCTCGGGTGTGTGCTGGAGCTAGGACCACATGCGGCTCTGTCGCGGGCCGAGTCCTAATCACCAGATCAGAGAACACCCGAAAGAAAGTAACACTGGGGCTGGGGATTTAGCTCAGTGGTTCTGGGGCCTGCCTCGAAAGCGCAAGGTCCCGAGTTCAATCCCCAGTACCAAAAAAAAGAAAGAAAGAAAGTAACATTGGAGCTGAAATCGTTGGTGAGTAGAAGTTGGTACAGAGAAGAGTGTTCCTTGGGCAGAACATAGTTCTGTCTGAGAAACCTATAAAAGTGGCCTGTGAGTCAGATCACAGAGTAAATGGGAGGGGATGCTGTTGAAATTGAAGAGGTAGATTGGAAGATATGCATATTTTGAGGATAGAAGTCAATGAAGTGTTTTTGGCAGTGGAGTGATTTCTTCAAACTTGTATTGAAAAGGCTTCCCCTACCCCCGGCCCACTTTTGTTGTTAGGTGACAAATTCAAGACCTCTGGTATGCTGGGTAAGTGTTCTGCCATTGAGCTACACTCTCAGCTTTGGGAAGATTTTTGGTTGCGATCTGGAGAATAGATCGGTAAGAGAAAGACTGAGTGACCAAGGAAGGATTGTCAGTAGCACTATTCAAGAGAGTTTGGGGGAACTGAGAAACTCCAAGATTAGTGCCATACCTAGGTTTTAATCGCTAATTATGCTCTCTGACTATGCTCTACTTGCTCAGGCTTTTCTTACCTTTAGTCAGCCTGCAACATGGAGTATGCCTGCTTTGTTTACTCCTTTTCACCCCTCTACCCCATCATCATGATCCAGGCCACTTGGTCTCTGTGTTCACCTTCTTCCCTTCAGGCTGTTCTCTGCACTACAGTTGGAGACATTTGACCTGTTCAAGATGGGGCAGTAATTCCTATGTCTCACTGCCAGGAGGCTTGAACTACCCATGGTACATGCATGACTGTCTCATCAGGCGGCTTTTTATTAATTTTATTAGCAAACCCATAAAAGTGATTAGATCCATTTGTACCACCAGTGATAATGAGCAGCCCAGTGGGACACTTCTGCATTACCACTGGTGGTTCAAGCTGATGGGAACATGTTAATACACACATAGGATCCTGTTTCTCCTGTATTCAGGAAACCTCCATGTCTGTCATAGAAGAGTATCAGCTGGAAGCAGAATCCTGAAATGGAGGGCTAGAACTCCTGATCTCACCTTAGTCCTATTATGTGTGTGTGGCCTTAGCACATTTCTTCTCAAGAAGCTCCATTACTAATCACTTACACCTTGAATGAAGTCGGTGGGTGGGTGATTTTTCTGCCCTTTAGCCTCCTAGAGGTTGAAATGGCAACATGAAAATTCTTCTGGATCTGGCAGGGTTCACAACAAGCTAATGAAGTTGATTAGGAAGAGCCTGAACGGTTCTGCCAGTATCTGAGCCAGGTCCCCATCTCTCCCCTATTCCCCAGGCCTCACCATTCTCCTTGCCCTTCTCACCCCTGGTTTTTCTCCAGGGCTCCAGGCACTCCCAGCTCTTGGCCACCTTAAGGATTCTGGAAGCAGCATCTCTTTGCCACCAGTCCACCAGCCTCCCTGGCAGTGACTCTGAGGAGGAGGTAGAAAGAAAGAAGAAATGCCCCAAAAAGTCCTCATTTGCTAGTACCTCTGCCAAAGTAGGAGAGAAAAGGAAGGAATGTCAAAAACTGGGCCCGCCTCAAGGTAACTGTGAGGACCACAAAACAGAAAAGAAGAAATGCCGCAAAAAAGCTCTTCTGGGTAGTGACTCTGCCGAAGAAGAGAAAAGAAAGAGGAAATGCCAGAAAGAGGCCCTTTCAAACAATGTCGACCAAACAGGTACCAGTGGATACGTATGTATAGGTGTGGGAGTGTCTGCTGATTGTACATACAACAGAGGTTTCCTGCCACCATTAAGATTGGGTAGACAGTGAGAAGTACTTTTATCTAGGCCGAGGTCTCAGTCTCAAGGACAAGGGTATCGCCACCAAGACTTGCCAATTCTCTGAATTTAGGGATCTTGCCACAGATAACACTTTCCCGTCTCCCTCCCTGCAGGTCACAAATCCTGGAAGTGTAGTACTACAAATGATTCACCCAAGCCAATCCCTAGGTCCAGTTCCCCTAAGCCCCCCAGTACCTTGACCCGCAAGCAGTGGCGGAACCGGCAGAAGAACAAGCGAAGACACAAGAACAAATTTCGGCCACTTCAGGCACCAGACAAGATTTCTTCGGAGGCCTCCAAGGCCTCCACAGAGGAGTCAGAGATGTCTCCTGCCCCCAAAGCAGACAACCATAAGCCTCGGGCAGAGGCCCTGCGAGCCCGAATGGCACAGCGGCTGGATGGGGCCCGATTTCGCTACCTCAATGAGCAGCTGTACTCAGGGCCCAGCAGTGCTGCACAGCGCCTCTTCCAGGAAGACCCTGAGGCTTTTCTCCTCTATCATCGTGGCTTCCAGAGCCAAGTGAAGAAGTGGCCACTGCAACCAGTAGACCGCATCGCCAGGGATCTTCGCCAGCGGTGAATGGGGGGTTGGGCACTATGAGAAGCATTGTGAGTCATTCAGGGGCTCAGACTCCACCAGTGTGTGACCCTTCCCTTCCACTCCCAGGCCTTCATCTCTTGTAGTGGCTGACTTTGGCTGCGGGGATTGCCGCCTAGCTTCAAGTATCCGGAACCCTGTACACTGCTTTGACTTGGCCTCACTGGACCCCAGGGTCACTGTGTGTGACATGGCCCAGGTAAACCCCTCTCTGTATCTGGTCTGTGCTTTAGCCCTTCCCTCCCCTCCATCCTCATCCTGTTATCTAATCCTAGCACTCAGTGCCAGATTTCTACTGCTAGTGTTGTGTGCCTCATTCCACACTTTACGTAGGTGCCTCTGGAAGACAAGTCTGTGGATGTGGCTGTGTTTTGTCTTTCACTAATGGGAACCAACATCAGGGATTTCCTGGAAGAGGCAAATCGAGTGCTGAAGCCAGGGTAGGCGCTCCCACGACATAAATGTGTATGTGTATATACATGTCTGTGCCCTTACGTAAAACTTCATACCTTTTTCAGGGGTCTCCTGAAAGTGGCTGAGGTCAGCAGCCGCTTTGAGGATGTTCGGACCTTTCTGAGAGCTGTGACCAAGCTGGGCTTCAAGGTCATCTCCAAGGTGAGAACTCCAAGAAATCTGTCCCTATGATTGTCTCATTTGTGGCCCCTTTCAGAATAATGGTGTTCAGGAAGGAGGCCATGGGCGCAGGAACAGTTTGCACCCCCAAAGACACAACACTACGGGGAGCCTTAGGAATGCTGCTTTCTGACAAGGGGGAGGTCATGAAGAGAGGTATTTTGAAGGGTTAGGGTGAGTATTTGTAGCTCATTGAGTCTTTTCTACCCCTAGGACCTGACCAACAGCCACTTCTTCTTATTTGATTTTGAAAAGACGGGCCCCTCTCAGGTAGGGCCCAAGGCTCAACTTGCAGGCCTGAAACTTCAACCATGTCTCTACAAGCGAAGGTGACCTCTAAACTTGCCTTGAAAGGGGAGGCAGGGCCCAGACTCCAGGCTGAAAACTCTGACGACTGTATCTTCTCTGAAGACTGTATCTAGCCAGGCTGTGAGTCAGGACCTGGTACTACCTTTCCTCTGTCCCAAGAACAAGTTGTGATGAAACCCCTGGCTCAGCTGTGTTCCAACGAAGGATTCTCGGTTTAAAAGAAGCCTAAAGTCACTTGAGCAAGCTAAGGAGTAAGGAGGAACAGGGATAACTGGGAATCATAGAATACCTTAAGTATCATAAAAGCCAGACGGTTTGGAATTGAAGGGTCTTTGGGTTTGGCTCCTCTTTGCATCTCTCAGAAGACACATGGGCTTTTTGTCTTGGCCTCTCTGCTCCCCTTTCTTCTGATTTATACTGATCAGCCTCTGCTCAACTGTAGCTTCTGCTCCTTCAGGCTCATACTGCCCAGCCCTTTAAACTCTTGCTTCTTGGTAGTTCTAATCCCAACCTTCCCCCCTCAGCCTAGAGTCATTTAGTATCTATCATATTCCTCATTTGGAAAATGATAGAATTTCTGTCTTAGAGTATTGCTGTGTGTGTTATCTGAGGAAATCCATAGTCAGGGCTAGGAACATAGGAGGTGCTCAATAAATAGCTGTGGATATTATGTGTTGTAATCCTTATTGTTCTTTGAAGACTCCATGCACCAGATTGGAGGTTGAAGGACAAATGGATTTGTTAACTGGGAAAATTCAAGATAAGGCCTTTCAAAAGACTCATGCAGTACTGTATTTTGAAACTTTTAATGGATTCCAAGCTTTCGTTGGAGGAGGGGGATAGTGAGGGAGCTGGATTTTTGTTCATAAATAACTGGTTGATGCCATGTTGCGGGGGAGATCGGACTACTCATTGGCAAAGTGGTTTGTCCATTATTTCTGCTCTGCAGTAGGCCCAGATCAGCATGTCCTGGGAGAGCGATAGGAAGGAAAGCTGGTGCTAGAGGAGGATGAGTTAGGATGACCCATCCCAGGCCTCCCCCAGAAGAGCTGCCATAGACTTGTCATAAAGATACAGCTTCTTCTACCTGTTCCCAAGAACAAGACCTGAGAGTGCCCACTGGGAAGACATAGCTTCTAGGGTTTTGATGCAGTTGGGTGTCTCCAGTAAAGACATGGAGATTCTGAAACAGGCTGTAGGCCAGAGGCATATATGGAGGCTGGGCTGTGAGCCATTCAGCTAACACTACACAGTGCTCTTGCATGTGCTTCTCTTTGTTGAGTACTTGTCCGGCTAGCATAGTTTAGTCATCTTCCTAAACATTCTGGTGGTTTATTACTCATCTGTTCCCAAAGCAGGATTAATTCTTCATCTGTGTTCACAAAGTATTATGTGAAGAGTACTCCTTTAGCATTTAAATATTATGTTGTGGTTGCTTAGTGCATTTGGCTACAGTCTTCTGCAATCATGTTTACCTTTGTATTCCCAGAGCTTGTCACTTGAGGTACAGCCAATGCATTCATTACCTAGGGAGGGATAAGAAATGACAGGGTCTGGTTAAGTGGAGTTGATGAGAACAGCAGTGTGCTAGAAACCCAAGTTTGAGGCATATGTTGAAGCCACTATGGACGACATTAGGTTGAATTGGTGGAATGTTGAGGGTGGATAAGAGGAAATCTGAAGTAAGTCCTAGGTTTCTGGCTTGAGCAACTGAGTGGGCTGGTGATGCCACTCAAAGTGTTGGACTTTAGGTCCTTGTTAGATGTTCATTTAGGAGTGGGACAAGATGGGGACAATAGTATATGCTTATAGTCCCACCTACTCAGAAGGCTGAGGTTGAAGGATTGCTGGAGCCCAGGAGTGCAAGATCAGCATGGACAACATAGTGAGACCCCTGTCTAAAAGAAGGAAGGAAGGAGAAAGGAAGCAAAGAAGCAAGCAACTAACTTATGAGATCTGTGCTGGGGATTTAACTAAAGGTAGGAAAGTTATAAGAATAGATAAGATATCCAGGGTTAGATAATGAGGAGAAAATGGCTCAGAATAGAACTCTCTCAGAATGAACCAGTAAAGGTGACAGAAGATAAGCAAGTTGGATCATAGAGGAGTAAAAAATACTGAGGAGAGTAGCTTTTTTAATATGGGAGGAATAGGTACATTATCAGCTCTCTGATGCTGTTGAGAGGTCTGAAAATGAGAGAGAAGTCAAATTGCAGTGGGGTAAGGATTGCTGAGTAATGTTGAGGGTCTTTCTGAATTTATAATGATATTATTCATAGGTAGCTATACCATCCTACCCAATGATGTAGTCATTCCTACCTACCCAGGAATCCAGGTGTAACTGGAAGATGTTCATAACTGGAAGAGGTGAGTGAGTACCAAGGGATCATCCAGAGTTCTTTTCCGTCACCGGAAATGAAAGGACAGTGAGCAAAGGAGTTCAGGCTATTAGCACGTAAATGGTGGTTATGCTGGATTGTGAAGCTTTGTAGAACAAGCAGGAGAGTGAAGGTAGGAGTAGGATGTTTGGTGGGAATAACTGAACAAGTAACCTAGGAGGCAGTTGTGCTTAGAAATCAGAATGTTTGAATTACTAATTTGAAAGCAGAGCAACTTTAGGTGATGGCAGCGTGTAGGGTGTGGGCACAGGGCTGAGTGCTTGGGAGACTCACAGGGGAGGTCGCCTGAAGACTGGTTAATGAACTAAAGGATCAGGTATTGTGGGAGGGGTCGTCTGCTTGGATTTTGAAGCTTTCCAGGATAATTGTTAAAGTTGACAGTGGAATGGGTACCAGTATCACGAGGGTGTTGGAGGATGGAGAAGATCTACAGACACAGGGAGGAAGCAGCATGGCACATAACTTCACAAGTGCCCAGCAGGGTCCGGGGATTTAGCTCAGTGGTTCCGCCACCTGCCTCACAAGCGCAAGGTCCCGAGTTTGATCCCCAGTACCAAAAAACGGAAAGTGCCTAGCAGACTCCCAGGTTAGGGTGAGTGGAGCTGGCCGCCAGGCAGCCAATGCGAAATGCACTGATAGTCCTCTCCAGCCTGCCAGATTCTCAGAGCTTATTGGGGCAACTCCGTGAGGCAGGAGCTTCCTGGGATAATTGAATGGGAGGCAAGCTACAAAGTCTAAGGAAAGTATCTTACCATAAGACACACATCACCTTTTATAGCTCTGTATTTGTATCCCCCCTCCCCACAATGTTACATACATTCCTAGATCTAGAATAGTTTGTTTGCTTATCATGCTCAGCAAGACAGCTGAGGTCTGCTTTCCTCTTGCTTTTCTTTCTTTCTTATGATTTGGATTCTCAGTTTGTCTATTCTGACCTCCAGCCACCTGAATAAACATCTCTGGATCTGACTCTGCCCCTGGGTTCTTCTTGTCTCAGCCAGCCCCCATCAGTAAACCCTGATTCTGAAGGTAGGACATTTCTTACCCTGATCTGGGTCCTCCCGGCTCTGTCACCAATTTCAAGGCAGACTTTTTTTCAGGTCCATACCTGGGCTTCAGTATCTAGTGTTGAGAGCCTGAACTCAAGAGAAAACAACATATATTTCCTTAACAAATAACAGCCTACTGTTCAAGGCATAGGAAACCCATGTGATTAAAACCAGTTGAAGTATGGCAAGTGTAGGAGGTAAGTGGGAATGGGAGGGAGTTGTGGATTGTGAAATGTAGTGGCTCTCAAACTTTTTCACTGCATTGAAAACACTAAGACTTATGTAATGTAGATTTCTAAACCCTCCCCCAGGGTTTCAGGTTCTCTCGATGGCGATAGGGTCCCGAAGCTCTTTTCTGGTTGCTTTGATTTTCTCAGTGAAACAGGAAGCAGATTTATTAAGTGTGAGAATGGAGAGAGGTGGTTGAGATTTTGGAGAAAGTGAATATCATTTCTAGGAGAGTAAAAGAGGGAATGAATGAAGCAACTAGGGAACACAATATGAGTGCTGGCAGCATTGATAGCACACTCAAGGTTCATAAATAGGATGGATGGGAGGAGATTGGTGCAAGATTGCTTTGCAGAGAACTTGTTACTCTCAGTGTGTAGCTGATCTGTTAAACCCAGCCCCTCCTTTGGGGGTGGCAGGTTTCTGTTCTCTTTCTTATCTCAAGCCTAGTTAGGGACTCTCCACTGGGACAGTTCAGCATGAAGTATTGAACAGTTGAGAATAGTGAGAGTCTATTCTTCAGTGGAGTCTGACTCTTGGAATGGAAATGTACAGGGCCAGCAAAGATTCACTAAGTGTTTCAGTGGTGGAGCCAGGGGAGGGCTGCCGCTGTGCTGTTGAGCTGCAATCCCAAAATCTGCCCTGGCAAGTGATGTTTTAAGGTTTTTTTCTGTGCCACTTGTAGAAGAGAATGAAGTATAAGCTGGTCGTGGGTCCTACCCAGAAGGACCGTTTTATTTTGGGGGCTTTTGATACTGGAGATTGAACCAGGGCTTTCACACTGAGCTACACTCCCATCCCTCTTTTATTTTTTCTTTTGAGACTGGGTCCCGCTAAGTTGCGTAGATTGGGTTTGAACTCATGATCTTCCTGCCTTAGCCTCCCAGAGTGCTAGGATTATAAATGTGCACCATCACACCCAGCCTAGTAGGACCCTTTTGAAGAACCAAAGAGACCTCAGCACAAAGAAGCTAGTAGTGTGCCATGTGAACTGAGGAGGAAGTTGTAAGGGACCACCCCAAATGAAGGTGTATTCACCAGCACAGGCAGGGGAGAGCAGGGATTACCCCTTTAAATGTCTGTGAGGTCTACAAGGCACAGAACCACCCAGCCAACCCAGACTGTTTTATCACTTTACCTCTCCTCTCTTAGTACTTGACTATAGAATAATCAGCAGCAGTTAGGTGGACAGGAGATGTGGAGGGCAAAGAGCATTCCCCCTTTCCCCAAAGCAGACACCTTGACTTCGGAAGGGTAGAGCGGGGAGGGGAAAGGATTGAAAGCTACTGGCAGATTATTTATTGGTAAACAGAATTAGACATTCTAAATGACCTGAGATTGTGTCTGTCTGAGAGTGTCACAGGCTTGCTGCAGCTTTTCTCCAACAGGGAACGAGTATAATACAAATAAAGTTTGCAGGGGTGGTGCGAGACAGGAAGAGTTGGGGTTGGGTGTCAGTCTTTGCCTTGTGCTTGTTCAGCATCTCTTTTTAGAGTCTCCAAGTACACAGTTTGTCCTTCTGCAGTTACTGGTCTGCTCTTTTGTTCCAGTAATACAGTCCTAAGGGAACACAGTTCCAAAAGATATGGCATACTCTTGGCAGAGACCGCTCAGCTCCAAACACTCACCAGTTATGTAATGGCACAGAAGCTCTGTAGCTTTTCTCGGACAGACTTGTAATTAGAGCCTTTCATTTCCAGGTTGTCCTCCTTCCCAGGTGGCTTCTCTGACCAACCACCTGGTTCTAGGACATTTGACTACTGAAGTAACTGTCTTCCTGGTCTGATTGCTTCTGTTCTCCAAAGCAATTTATTTTCCCCACAGCCAAGTGATTTTTTAAAAAATGTAAATCAGATTATGTAACTTCTCTGTGTAAAAATCTTTCAATGGATTCTCACTGCACCAAGCACAAAAGACAGACTCCTTCCCAGGCCCTGTGTGATCTTGCCCAGGCTTTGCTTCCCACCTGCATCCTAACCCATGCCTCCCCTTTCTCAGAACTTGGGCCACACAAGCTTTCTATGCGTTTCTCACACATCCCAAGCCTGCTGCAGGGTCTGTTACATGCTGCTGAGTCTGGCTAGAATACTCTTTCCCTGATGAACTTATTTTCATCTTCCACATCTCCACACTAATAGCATTTTTTTTTTCTATAGAAGAAACCAACTAGATACTCATCAGAATGTAACTCTTTCTGGACACCCGGGTAAACTAGATGTCCTAGCTCCATGCATCTAGGCAGGGCTGTGTGAGTAGATCTCACCAGTGAAAAGAGAGAAATGAAGTTACAATACTCTCTAGACAAAGGCAGCTAAAGGGTAAAGGAGCATTTTCTATATTCTTCCATTCCCTACTGTACCTACCAAGGTGATCTTTTTTTTTTTGGTACAGGGGATTGAACTCAGGTCCTTGCAGTTGCGCAGCAGGTGGCAAAACCACTGAGCTAAATCCCCGGCCCAAGGTATAAATCCTGTAGGTTTTATTTTAGAGGTGTCTCAGAAGTAGATTGGCTGGTATATTTATTGTTTTTGTTTTGGGGGGTACTGGGGATCGAACTCGGGTCCTTGCACTTGCAAGGCAGGTGGCAGAACCACTGAGCTAAATCCCCAGCCCTCTACCAAGGTGATCTTAAAGCACATGTTTTTAAGGTAACAGAATCATAACATAGAAGTTTGGATACATGAATTATACTGGAGAAGAGCTCCTTGACCAGGAACATCTACATTGGACTTTGAACAAGAAGCAAACCTCTACTACATTTGACTAATGAGTTTGGAGGTGTTACAACAGTTAGCATTATATATCCTGGATATATCTTTTAGAAGCATTTATCTACCTTACTCTTAACCACAAAACCCTCTTTTGTTTCCTGCCTTCAAGATGATTTAAACATGTAATTATCTTGCCAGATGTTCACACTTTCTGCTTGCCTTGTGAATTTTAAAGTGGAGGAAAACATGCTCACATCAGAAAATTGAAGTATTTTATCAGTCATTTTGATTGTGACCAAAAGAATCCCACTAAAGAATACTTTCTGGGTGTGAGGGCACACACCTGTAATCCTAGCACTCGGAAGGCTGAAGCAGGAGGATCGCTGCAAGTTTGAGGCCAGCTTGAACTACATACCAAGGCACTGTCTCAGAACACAAACAAATACCTTAAGCCTGGCATGGGGCCACATGCCTATAATCCTAGCACTCTGGGAAGCCAAGGCAGGAAGAATGTAAATTTGAGCCCACCCTGAATGACTTAGCAAGTCCCTGTCTCAAAATAGAAAACAGGGCTAAGGATGTAGCTCAGTTGAAAGGCCCTGGGTTCAATACCCAGTACCACCAGTATCATCACCACCAAAAAAAAAAGCCTTACAGCCAGGTATTGTACATACCTGTCATCCCACCACTTGGGAGGCTGAAGCAGAAAGATAGAGAGTTTGAGGCTACACCCTATCTCCAAAAAGACTGTTAAGAATTAGGTCCTTTTTGTTTCTTTTGGTCTCTTGAGTCTCATAGATGTGTTCTTGGTTAAGCAAGGCACCCTACGTGTTACTAGATTGCTTGGGAGTCTCACAGATTGCCAAAGATCCTACATATCTTTCTGGTTTCACTTCAAGGGCCCCTACATTGGTAGTACTCTTGGTATAAATATGTTCTAGTATTCTAAGACGATAAGCCAGTCTGAAATATTAACACTTCAAATCCTGCCTCGTTCCTTCCTACATCTCAGCAACCTGTCAGCAACTCATCCAGTTCAAAATCGCTCTTTCTTCAGCTCAGGGCTGGAGGAACATGATTTCTCACTATTTTTTTTTAATGTCTTGACTGGTTTATCTCACATAACATGATCCATCCATTTATCTGCAAATGACGCAGTTTCACTTTTTAAATGGCTGACTCAGCACTTTGTTATGTTGCATTTTCTTTATCCATCTGCTTGTTTGTTTTTTTTTTTTTTTGGTACGGGGTATTGAACTCAGGACCTTCCGCTTGCGAGGCAGGGAGTAGAACCACTGAGCTAAATCCCCGGCCCTATCCATTTGCTTGTTAATGGGGATTTATGTCGGTTCCATATCTTGGCTATTGTATATTATGTCCCAGTTAATATAGGTATGCAGGTATCTCTGTGATATACTGGCTTAAATTCCTTGGGATATAGCTGGATTAAATGGCAGCTCTATTTTTAGTTATTTTGAGGAACTTTCATACTGATTTCTGTACTGGCTGTTCTAATTTATGTTCCCACCAGCAGTGTGGAAGGGTTCCCTTTTCCCCACATTCTCATGAGTATTGTATTTTGCATTTTTTAAATCATTTTTAATTTTATTGGTACAGTTTACATTTACATAATGATCAAATTCATCATAGGGAATTTCTACCTTTACATGATGTATCTTGATTCCTTTTTTTCCCTATTCCTCCCCTCCCTTCAACCTCTCTTCCCTTTCCTTATTTACCAAAGCCCCGTTTTCATTTTTTCCTCCTTTTTCTCATTTTTTTCTTTTTCTTTCCTTCTTTTCCTCATCCCTCCTCTCTAGTTCCCCTTTCCTATTGAATGGTTTTTTTCTTATTTCACATTGTCTGTTATACATTTTGGTCCTTATTTACATTTTTACTTTCTTATACCAGGGAGACAATGTGATATTTACACATATGTGTCTGGTTTGTTTCACTGAAGAGTATAGCTTCAAGGTGCATC